TAAAGAGGACAAGATGAAACTTTCCATGAACTGTTGATGGGACAGGAACGGAGCTGATGGCCTTATTCCCAGCCTTGTTCAACTTTGAGTAAGCCTGTCGACGCTTACCATACTTCCATGTGTGAATTGATGAAGGCGACGTTGAAGTCCCGTCGGGAGAACAATCTCAAGCAACCGCTCACAGTTAATGGACGTTGGTCATGGATCGCAACAAAAATACCACTTTGTGACCGCACCTAAAACACCGGTAACCTTTGTAATTCTCCCTCCAGAGTTGACAAAGCTCGCACATCCGCTCTGATATTTTCGAAAAAGCCACCTCACATCGTGAGTCGCATTTAATCAAACGTACTGATCAGCAACGTCCCACATTCGCTGAGTTGTCAAAACTCAATAAGCAAAAAAAGCAAGGTGCACCATGTGGCACTTTGCCGAAGCGCACGGGACTATCATGCATCCAGTTGGAAGCAAGTATGTTACCGGCCAAGCGTTCTAAGGCAAACCACTTGAGTACTCGAAACGTTCATCTGTAAATACTCAAACAAACCGGATTTATTCGACTGTAGTTTATTGTGGCTTTTTTTTGCATCCGACACATACCTCAATTGCCCCAAAACGAGACCATTCAGTTGGCCGTCTTCTACCAACCGGGACAAGCAAAGGTCGAATAACCCAAGTGAGCGGAAGTTGTTTTGAATAACTTATCTTACTTTGTATAGCGTTACGGAACATTTGATAGAACTTTGCGACCATTCGGAATAAAAGAAAGATGTTGGAGGTACTTTTAGCTCAAACTAGTACGTAAGTCCCTAGAATAAGCTACGTTTCTTACCCAGAGATAGACATCTTTTGGTGGTTGATCAGGTGACCGTGGATCTAGTTGGAAAACACCTTTCTCGGCATCCGGTTGGTCCCTTTCAAATTGTAGTGCATCATGGTCTATATTCGTTTCATTCCATTGGTGAGTTCCGTAGCTCGTGCTCAGCAAAGTTTCTTCCCTCTCCGACTGGCTACTTTCCAAAATCTGTTGCATCATGGTCTCCCTCCCTTCACTGGTCTGGATCTCACTGCAATTTTCACTTGTAACAGTTCAACCTCTTTGTTTTGATTGATGCATCCTGAATTTTCAGTGTTGGACTCTGAGTTTATCAAGTTTATACCGATTTGCATTCCGTTTGCCATATTTGTCTTTCTCGTGCTGCGAGTGTCCTACGTTAGCTTTCCCTCGTAAGAAATTTTCTATTCTTTGCTCAGTTTTGTTCTTTGATTTCGTGGTTGAAAGTATATTCCAATAGGGTTAGTTGTGCTTTCTCGAATTGAATCCGCCTGCTAATTTTGGTCGGGTATTCTTTGGTTTCTCTTGCAGTTTCGAGCGCTCTGGTTGTTGTGAACTTTATCCGTTCTTAGCTCGTAACAGAACGGGTTGACTTCGTGTTTGTGGCGCTCTGTGAAAGGTCCCCTCATTTCCTTCCTGTCTGTGTCTGTCTCACTTAGTGGACTGCTATCTTTGCTTCTGAAGTTGCCAATATTTCCGTGTGCTTCGTCAGGCAAGTGCCATTCCTCATATTCACGGGCAAGTGTGCATAAAATCTGCAGCTAAAACAGACGACCCTCAAGCGGAAATGCCCTGATGAGGGGTCGATAGGCTGATACCCCCCAGACATCTTTGACGTGTACTGACGGAAATGTGTCTGAACAGTGTTAAACGAGCTAAACATGGACAAGCTGTGCAGAGCATTCAGAGAGCACCAACCTGTGAAATCGAAAAATAGAGTCTCCGATGTTTGGAAACCAACATTGTCCTTGAACAGTCATTCAAACAAAATCAGTCGTCTGCGAATGGCTGCGACTGCTGCATTTATCCGGTCATTCGAATGAACAGTGTTTTTCAGCGTTATTGATGCATTTTATGTAGGATCCATGAGGCATGGCACGTAATCAGTGTTTTAATTTTCCTGTAAGGGAATTAGGGGAAACGATAAGCGTGTACACGTGGAACATCTGACTGATTCCGAGTCTGACCATTGCTCAAACGTATTCGGTCTCACTCAACCACAGATAACTTCAGCGTGACATAGAAATGCCTGAAGGTGAAACTTTGAAACTTGAAATGCTATAGGCACCTTATTATTGATAAGATTCCCTGATAGAGTGGGACATCTTTACACTTAGCCTACACAATACCATCTCCATTCCACTCTTGGTTGAGACGTTGTTGCCTCATGGTCTACTGGCAGTCAAGCGCCAATGTAGTGTCGAGGACTATTTTCAACGTTATTCAAGGAAAAGAAACTACGAAGTGGATATATTGATGTGTGGCCGTTAAACTTCACCTCTAAGAAATACCAGCCGAGCACTGCATAGCTACGGCCTTCATTTGTACACGAGTGTTATTCAAGTTTGAATAGATTTATCGATCTTTTTTTGGAGGAAGAATATAGAGAGTCATTCGACTGAACTAGTGTAGTCATTGGTCTATCTTTGCGATCCACAATTAATGGCTTCCTTTTGCTGTCAGAAACTATCGCTGTCATTTTAAACGATGCTTTTCTGGGATAAACTGGGTGGGACTAAAATAGAACACAGAGTAGTACATAGTGTTCCGGGCTGGCAGAATTACACACGACGTTTTTGCCCTTGGTGAACTGACATTTTCCAACAGCCCGTTCCGGTCATCACTTGTCAAAGTCCGCGTAACGCACGTATCCAAGACGGCCTACGTTCTATTTATGACATGCAATTTTTTCAAATACTTCCCCCTACTGTGTAACGTTTCTGTAACTTATGAATCAGGGCTTCCTTTTATTCCAAGCCCCCCGGATCAGGGCCATGTCATTGACACCTTTCTCTTAGGCGTTGGATGGTACGGAATTTCTCACTTTACGATTTTTCTAGTCTGCATCTTTCAATTTCGCTGCTTCGCCGTAAAACTACATATCTGCGTGCTCGATTTCATTCAAAAGTAACTCTTCTCTGGAACTGTACCGATCATCTGTGATCCCGACTCTTGTACTGCCCATCTTTTGAAATCCTAGTTCGCCTCTCACGTCATCCCATCTTGAGTTTGGTGTTTTTCATGTGTTGTGTCTTCCGGAATGGCAGTGCAACTCTATATCGGTCCCTTGGCTTCCTGCTGCGCCCATTGTGGTACATCAAAAGGCACGGTAGCTCTAGGCAATCCTTAATGGAGACAGGCGAGAGCATTCACAGCTGCATTTATAGGGTAATCGTAGGGTATTCCACAAGGTCGTGCTAGAATCTTCGCGAGGAGATGAGGAGCGTCGAGTCAAAGATGCTCGATCCGAATTGGCTAACATTGTGACCAATCAGGGCGTGCCTTCGTTTGTCCAAGTCCTGCATATGACCCATCCGTCCAAATGATGTGACGTTCGGTTAATAGAAACGGCTGGCCTCCGAACATTCCGTCTGTATCGAGGGGGTGTTCTTGATGTCTATAAGTGGATCTCTGATCAGAGGTTCCCCTTCCCACGGTAGTTAACATTCGTGCAGTGCGCAGGGTTTGTCATGCATTGTTTGAGTTTGGCATGTAATTATAGGTGTCCTGTTTGTTCGGAACGGGACAGCGAACAGTTCATAACAAACCTCCATACAAAATTTCGCGTATTCAGATGGCCTGTATTTTGGCATTCACTCTTTGAAACCTCGGACAAATGAGTTTACATCGCCAAAAACTTATATACTGTGGTACGTGGAAGACAAACACTGCGTAAACAGACGGCGGTTTGAACGGTAATCATACCCGAGCCGAATCGCCCTGTTTCCTGCGGCTTTTCTATTTAACTTTTCGGGGGTTGACCTACCTTCATAATGATATCAACAAGTCCCAAGATGCTTTTAGCTACGTGTCTGTGGAACCAATACAGTATTGTAGTATTATAGTGTTACTAATATAGTGTTACTGAGTAACCTTTTGGTGTCATTTGATGTGGGGTAATAATGTGTGCATTGTGTCAATTAAATCGACGGCTTGAACAAACTAGGCAAAAATCTTCAATTTGGCGTTTTCCAGACAAATTTATGCTGTGCAGGACAGACCGAACCTCCACTGGCGGAATAGATTTCAAAGAGGAGAAGCTCGCCGTGTTACGTCAATGCATTCAGAGCATTTTCAACCTCAGAAAAGCGAACACATTGAATGATAACAAGTCAAGTGAACGTGGTTCGGAAAAATCGATTTTTTCCCGAAAAAAAAACATATTTGGAAAGGGAAACTTTCTCACCGCAGTAATCTTTGTATTTTGCTGAAATCGGTTGCATCTACCACGACCACTGATGATTCTAATAACAGCGATACTCAAGCTCATTGCAACCCAGAGAGACATCCTGGCTACATGTACTCACATAAATTCAGAGCGCATTCAATTAAATGAAGCCCAGTCACACAGTTATCCAGGTGTGACGAGCGAACTCTCTGCGCTTAGTACCCGAAGGCACATTTGTTCGGGTGGCAGTTTCCAAATACCTTGCACACACACACACACATGTTCAACTTGTAACGGCAAGCAAATTTTGGGCCACTTGTGAGCGTCATCGACAGCTTCCTGCCGTTGGATGCCAACTGAATCGTTTGAAATCTGATTGCTGACACCTTTGGTTAGCATTCCTGAGTAAGACAGCAACTCTGATTTCCTGTTAACAGCTTCAAATTAAAAAGTTCCATATAACAGGCAGTTGCCGTTTAGTGATGGAATCCGACATTTGGCTGAAATCATAAGGGGATTTTATCATCACGGATGCGATATTCATTCACTTGGGTACGCCCCTTACGTATACCGTTAGATACCTTCGAACCTGTTGTTAGGCAGAATTCCACACGGATCCCGCGTTACCGCACGTCTTTAGGCGCTGCTACGGCCGATAAGCCTGACCCGCACAAGATTGGCCAAGAATTCGGGACACTTGCCGATCCGGCATCAAGGCGAGATATGATTGGTCAGGAATCTGGACCCAACAGCCAATCGTGACCCAGTATTGGCCAAATGCCGGTTACCAATGGCGCACCCAGAACGCGTCAGAAATTCCAGAAAGTTATAACCGCTTACGCTATATATACGAAGCGCTGTACAACTGTTCTTGAGTTCGTTTTGGGTATTAATAGGCCTTGTGCACCTTTGGTGGTTGTTTTGACGTGAACGCTGGCTTGGGAGACTCAGACCGAGAACTAAGCTGAGGAAAATACCGTTACTACACTTGTCATGTGGTGGTATCAGACTGCGTTATTGCATGAGTCGTATCCTAATATACGTCTGCAAGGTGCTCAAACCATGCCCTAAGAATCAAGATATTTATAGAGCGTCTCATAATAAACGCGAAAAATAACACCACCTTAAAGCTTTAAGAATAATTTAAACGTTTTTCATTTTCTATGTGGATATACATACTTTATGGAGTTTTTTGACAATAAACTGGCAATGCAAAAAGTGTTTAAAAAACCGTTCCTTTCTTCTATAATAAGTTGGAGGCGGTATGAGATGTGAGACATAGCATGCTTAACTTCTTCAAGTGTCACTCGGCACGCTCTTCTTCAATTCTTGCTCTTAACTCCACCAGATTCTTCGGTTTATTTTCATGATATACGCGAGCCTTGATTATTCCCCAAAACCAATAATCCAGGGGTGTGAGATCGGGTGACTCTGTGGGCCAAAAGTTTGGAAATCCACGAGCAATGACTGTCTCATCAGAAAATTGCTCTCAAAGGTAAGTCCTCACTTGGTTTGAGTAGTGAAGCGGAGCGCCATCTTGTTGAAGACGGTCGATAACCTATTGTGCTGCTTGAGTTGTGGGATAAAATGCGACTGTAGCAAACGGAGGTAACCGTCGCCAGAAACCGTAGCAGCAAAGAAAAAGGGACGCGGGAGACGCATTTAGGAGAATCCCATCCACACACAGAGATGAGGGGAATGGAGATTGTGAGAGAATTACTCGTTCAACCATCACTCTGACCGAATAGGCCAAATTGTTCCCGAACGTTGCTCGTAAAAAACAGTCGTCTACTGCGATAAACGTGGACACACTACAGAAATTTTTTTGATAGAAGGGCAGAAATAACAAACAAATGTTTTACGTTAATGATTAAAGATGGTCGTTGAGTGAAACTGCTCAAGGGTAGTCAAAACAGCGCTACTGTCACCGGCAACTGTTCCCCAAATGAAAAGCGTGCGAGGAATATTTTGTCGCTTGGTTACGTTATCTCGTAATGTGAGTCCGCCCATTCATGGATGATGTCAACTGCTCAACCTTGTGACCAGACTTATGCACTTACTGGTAGGCGGTAGACTCCAGCGAGACAAAATCAGCTGTCACAATGTTTTTCGACGTTCGAAGCGAGCTTTGCGGAAAATTATACTGAAAAACCCAACACGCTTGCCAAACTTTTGACCACTTCTGCAATTTCCAACTGAGGCTTAATGCCTTGCCTAGTTTGCTTTCATCTCTACAAAACGCGCTCCTATCGGACAGGTTGATAGGTTAATTTCCTCAAAACATATTTGTCTTTTCTATAGAGGAAAATGTCGATAGCTCAGGTAGCGTAGATGGTGGTCGTTGACTTGTCCGCTGAGCTGGGCAATTTGATTGCGAACGTTTCATCACCAATCGAAGTGATATGATCAGTGCGTTATTGGGGAGCGTAGTTGTGCGTGGCAGTGGGTTAGTGCTTGTGCCTCGGAATGCAGACAAAACCCGAATATTCTGGCTGAAAACTCTGGACAGTGTTGACAAGCATGGTCGGCTCGATTATTTTCATCGTGTGTATGAGCTCAAAAAATTGACATTCACCAAAAATGCTTTTCGAACCAGGAGCACACTCTCTCAGATTAGAGGGACAATGCCTGCCTTATTAACTACAATGAAATCAGTCGTGGGCTGTCTGTCGGTTATGTCAAAGTTGACTGTTTTTCCAAAATAGAAATTCTAGAGGGTCAAATTGGAATCGATAGAGGAGATTAATATTTTATCACTGAAATGACGTTGGAGCCTCTAGACAAACGCCAATTTTAGGTTTGCTCACGGAATTCAGGTGCAAACATTTCGCGTTTTGCTTGCATACTTGTTCTTGCGTACGTTGCCGAACACGTTCATCCGGAAATTATACTGTTGCTTGAGAGAGACGTTAGGTAAGTTTCACCTGAGTCTTTGATCAAAATCAGTTTACTTCGCCAATAACTCTTTATCACAAGTTGCCAGCGGTATCAGAGATGAAATTCACACAGAAAATCGACCGGCCGACCAACCAACCAACCAACCAACCGACATAATCAGGAGATTTAGCGAATATACACTCATTTGCAAACTAAGTTGGTTTTCCGAAGGGACTCATCTGGAACCCAGCTGAATTTCTCGTTTGTGATGTTCTCAGGTAACTGAATGTGCTGCACCAGGCCGCCCCATGTTTTAGTCACTACGATATTCGAGATATCGCGATTCATGTATATCTTTGTAATGTACTACCAAATTGGTTTGCAAATGAGTGGATATTCGCTAATTCCGTGCAATTTGGTTTCAAGTAGAACGTGAGGTTGACGGAAACCCAGGGACTGCGCCTACCTGATGAGCCCCAAATTGGTGAAACCGATCGTGGGCTGTTGGCGGATTTTCAGCAACCTTATGAATAGTACATTGCAAAGATAATGAGGAGAAATTAAAAAACCCGCAAAAGTCTCGTCTACTGCCACCTGCAGTCCCAAGAACGCGGAGCTTAGTTTATCATAAACGAGCCTGCAGGCTTACGGGACTCTGTAGAAAAATTCCACACGGAAATGTTACAATCGACTCAGATTTCCGACGTTGATGACTGCTTTTTCATTAAGGTTCAATTAGCACTAATGGTATTTTGAAAAGAAAACTGTGGAATTTTACTCAAAGCTCTATGCTTGTTCGCGTGCACCAACCACACCTCTAAGACAAGTGAGGTTCCTATGTACCGGAAGTACCCGTTTTATCCTTGCGGATTCAGGGGGTATACAGACGGTGGACTTGGTTATACGCATTTCTCTAAGCCCGTTTTGGTCGATCGCTTCTCCTGGTGTGAATAAACACCTGTGGAAGATGTGACACGGACAAACTAAACATTGGTGTTAGTCTGTTTACTACACTGTAAGACTAGACCCACCTGACTTTTCTTTAAGTCACGAGTCACCGTAGAACTCAAGTTTAGATTTCGAGAAATACACTCGTTTGTAAATCAGTTTGGTTTTCACGAGGGACTCAACTGAATCTCTCGTTTATGATATTCGAAGAGTTTTCAGCAACCGTGTGAGTAGTTTCCTTTCTGAAAACATATTGCGATATGTCGAA